TCCCATTCTCCCCACCCCTCCGACTGCACGCGATCGAACAAAGTGTCGTCTCCCCCTAGCGAGGATATAGGATGGCACCCCTTCGCGGAAATGCTACACCAACGCTATACCTTTCATCGAGAAGTACATTTAGCCGTTCGGTTGTGTACACTACCGCGATATCCAGCATCGATCTTATCAAATGCAGAGATACTAGCCAAAAAGTTATTGTACACGGTACTGAGATATATTTAAGGCCCTCCGAATTGACAGTTTGAGAAAGCAAGCCGCGTATATATGTATATACGTATCTCCTTTCTTTTCTGTCTCGCTCCTGAACGACGTTCCTCATATAAATTTGTGACTGACGCATGGAAGAAAAATACATTATTTATCCGTACGCTCGTGGACGATGTCCTCGGGGGGTTATTTCGTTACATCCTCGCATTTCACGGAGCTCTCAAAATTGCCATCCCGCCTCTTCTCGTGGATATTTATCCCCCGAAATAAGGTAAGGCTCACGGTGGTAAGAGGAGCCGACAGCAATGTCGTAACCAGTTTGCACAGCGCGGAAAATCGAAGCAGATATGTCGTACGAAATGTCGTTTTTTCCTTTCTTCCTTTTCTTTTTAAGAGGCGAGGTAATTTGCGCTCACGCACGAGTGAGAAAGAAGCGCAATACGCGTGGACAAGAATAATTCCTGGCGCGATTTCACAGCTGGTCGAATATCGAGGCATTTGCCCGTGTCTTTTCCTCTTTTTTCTTTTTTGCTTTGGATCTCTGTTGGTTCGTGAAAATAATTTGGCGCCGCTGCATTAGCGCTATATTGTTGTAACATTAACGCGCCGATTGATCTCGCAAGCACGCTTATAAATATGTATTTTATAGATTTTATCGCGCTATATATTTTGGCGGAGAGGCTCGCGGAAAACATGTGATTGACGTCGTGCAGTTTCTTTTTCCTACAAATTTACTCAAATATGAAATATTTCACGATAAATTCTAATACATATATTTTCCTTTATTAATAACGACTTGTGCTCCTACGTAATGGGCTTATCCGATCTTTTCCGTGAGCATTCAGAAGAAATAATATATTTGCTACCCTCATCGGGGAGTTTTAGGACCTGACCCGAAACGTAAGACGTGCACGCACACACCATAAAACACACCCACACAAGCGTGCGCGCATAATATGTTGTTTGCAGGATATAAAATTATGACGGAAACGCGCGCTGAATTTTGTCGCGCTGAAAAAAAAAGGAGGAAGTACGGCGCGCTTCCTGCGTCGAACTGCGTTGCGCAGTTAATAACTACCAATAAGGTTGAAAATAAAATAATGGAGTTTGAGTTCTTTCCCAGGCGCGTACCCTTTTCCCTAGACAGACAGGAGCGAGATTGGAATGCCTCGTTGTACAAAGAGGTATTTCATGAATAGCTGAGGGCAGCCTGCCATCCGTGGAAAACATTTTTGTCGAGCTGCTATAACGAGGGCCACATGAACTCGTTATTTCGCCGAGCACGGAACTCACGGGGAAAATAATACGATTTCTTGCCAAATTCCTGCGCGAGGAATCCAGAAGAGAGACAGAGAAAGAGAGAGAGAGAGAGAGAGATGGCGGGACAAAGAGAGAGAGAAAAAGCGTCGTTCGATCGTTTTACACCTCACCGATCACGCGTCTGTACTTGACCTGACTTTGTGGAGAGTTAACAATCGAGGTCGGTAAAAACTGACAAAGGTGTTAAAACCTCGTTATCACTTTCACAAAATGTTTTACGAGTAACCCTTTTTTGCGCCGCCATCGAATAAATTCGATAGCTTATTCATATAAATACTCGCGAATGTCGTTGAATATTATTAAGAGAATGAATTATTACGCGCAAAATACGCTAAAAGATGTGAAAAACAGACATTTCGAGCGCTCAGGAAATCTAATAAATACGAAATGTGTTTTAAAAGGGAAAGAGGAAGATGTACCAGAAAACTTTATCGCGTTTACCGACGAAATGCTGACTTTTTCTACAAAGCTTACGTTGTATTGGTTGAACAGAATTACAAGTGCATTTACACACTAGCATACGCAATAATGAATTGGATCACTCCAATTGGATCGCTCCAATATATGACGAAAATGATAAAAAATGTTAAAACTGACATCTCGCCAGTTGGCGTAAATATTTACTTGATATAAAAGTTTTGCAGCTTGTATGTACCACGTGTGTGTTCCGCCAACGAAAATTTTAAGGAACTATATTTCTGTATCTTTACAACTGAATGTAGAAAGTCTGCGACAAGTTTACAGAAAGATTTTTACGTATACGTGATTTTTTCCTGCCAGTATGGTAAAGCAGCACTCATTTATATAATTGTATAATATCTATATATACTACAAGAAATACGGAAAGGATAGTATCATTGTGTTAGCGACAGCCGCCTCCACATTATCGTATTATTGTATTTTTCGACTTCGTCATCCACTTCGACATCCCTTTAAGTATGAAACAGATCGCACGTTTTTTCGTAGCGATCTATTTCCCTCCCCGTATAGATGAGATTAAAATTCCCATGATGTCACCCAATTTTATCTTCGCCGTTGGTTATTTCAGTCGGTAATAAAAGATAAACGTAATCATGAGAAGTCGCATAATATATATATACGCAGTCTTTCAGGAGAGGTGTTTGAGAAGATGAATTTTCATACAAGGGATTGAAACGCCTCAGGTCGAGTGCGTTCGGAAAATTTCGAGAGTGGCGGAAAATATTTCGCATTCCATGGGGAATCAAGTTTGAGATTTATGACTTATCGCAAAACAGACGGAGTCTATGCTAAACGTTCAAGCCCCTCTCAATCCTCGAGCGAAAATCGCTTGAACTTCAATTTCTCTTCCCTAGCATCAAGGGTATCAAGGGAAAAGAAACTGTCTTGCGACCCCTTCTTTGACAGATAAGATTTTATACGCCGAGCTATAAATTAGCATAATGTACTAAACATTCCATTTGTGAACGCTCAAATTGAATTCTCTATTCCCACTTTCTCTAACGCATATGTGGAGATTTCTGTACTAGAGATGTGCAAACTATTCGAATTCGAATCAAATCGAATTAAGTGAAATTTGGTTCGATTCGAATTTGAATCCCTATGATACGAATCCGAATAATTGGAAAATTTCGAATCAAAAAGATTGGAATAGGAATTGCGCACATTAGCATTAACGAAATACTATTAAAAACATCCAGCCTTATGGGAATTAGCATGACTTGAAAAGTTTGCTATACATTAAAATTTTCTTCAAAAATATTAAAAGAAGATAATGGCTTCTAAGTAAACTCTTATCGACAACTATCGGATTAATATGTGCCGTTGCGCAGTTTTCAAGGCTGGAACTATATTCCATACACATTTACCGACTATATATTATATACTCTTACCTTAAACCCTTTAAGTCACGAATTTCTCTGCACAACTTTTTCCTTTATTTAATCGATATCTAAGATTTTCTGGGGTTGCTAACTACGAATTTGAAGTCAATTTTTGAAAATTCCAGATGGCGGATCCAATATGGCGGACGACTATTTTAAAATCCTTCCTTGATTTGCATGAATATTCATATCCAAGGGTTTTTGGCCGAGCGTCGCTGATCACGAATTCGAAATCACTTCTTTGAAATTTAAGCTATTTACAGACTCAACTTCACACATTTACGGAAATAAATGTAATTTATTCAGCTCGCCATATTGTAATTTTTTTAGCTCGCCATATTGAGTTCGCCATCTTAAATTTTGAAATTTTTTAGGTTGTGTCATCATCTACAGCTTAAAAAACATCAACCAAGCCATTTTTCCATAGGTTTACTTGGCAATATTTTTTGCAAATGGATTTTTTTAAATATTTTTTACATTAATTTGTTTATGAATAATTAAATTTGCAAAATTTAATGTTCTATGCAGATGATTCTGTTAGAGGAGCATCTAAACTTCACAATGAATTCAGATTTACTGCCTCAAAGTTTGTACAAATTAGTTTAAATTTGTAAAAACTGCTCTAAAAAATATGTATCATACAGAATATACTATGACTTAAAAGGTTAAAATGAATTGATATCACATAATCAATGTTATCTCTCTTATACTGAAGACACTATTTTCATGTTGAATTTAATGATTATGTTAATTAAAAATTCTTTCAACGATTCGATTCCATTTCGATTCGGTTCAATTCTGGTGAAATTTCATCGATTCGATTCGATTCGAATTCGAAATTAAAATCTTAGATTCGATTCGAATCAATTCGACATAAAAAATCTTTGATTTGCACATCTCTATTTTATACACTATATAAGAACACTCTTCAGTTCGAAACATTTACGCGTGAGTAGAAATACTAACTACAGTTTTGTTATTAAATATTATAAAGTAGCTTAAAGTTTATTTGGCAATACTCGGACTTCTTATATCTAGAACGTCTAAACTTAAATTACCACAAAGTATCAAGGAAATGAAATCAAGAGAGAGTGGAGTGTCAGAGAGAACAGAGAAATAGTCTAGACGAATTTTTTTATTGATCAAACAAAATTTTGCTTGATGCAACAAAAATATTTATTTACAGCTTAGTTTTAAAGAAATATTTTTGTTATTTTAACCAAATAATTTGTTTGGACTATTCCAAACGTTTATTTGATTCAACAAATCGTTCTCTCTGTGGAAATTTCGTAGCCTATATTTTCCGCAAAGTCCTAGGGAGTAACAAAATTGGGTGCAGATCGATCGAAAGATTTAAGAATTAATATTTTAGGGAACATCCAGACATTCTGTTTTAACATATTCTATTCTATTATATATATATATGATATTATAAATGCTTTGTGTAGGAAGATGCAAAGGAAGACACATGATTGACTCTACGTTTCCATATTTATGATTCGGATTGTCTCGAAACGCATGATAACTTCATTTGCAATTAACGGTACTCGCAACTCGCCTAACAATACTATGCATTGTGCGTTTGTCATCTGTTTCTAGGTTGTTTGAGGAGAACGCGGAATTGTTAAACATGTTCACGAAGTTTCGGGATATGAAGACGAAGGAGCAGCAGTCGACGAGCATGGAATTGGCCGAGCACGCGAAGACGGTCATGTCCACCCTCGACGAAGGGATTAAGAGCCTGGATGACATGGACACGTTCCTGACGTATCTCCATGAGGTCGGGGCCTCCCACACGAAGATTCCCGGCTTCAATCGGCAATATTTTTGGGTAAGAACTGCCCAAGAAAAGACGCGAATAACGCGCCCTATAACATTTACCAAACGACGTATAACATAAAACCAACACACTGTATAGTGGTCAGACATACTCACAGCTAAATCCAGCTGTCGCCCTATATATATCCTATTTCATTTTGTTCCCTGTTGAATTATGGCGAGTTCTATGTTGTATTAATTTCTTTTTCTGAGGCCAAAGAATCCTAATTTATTTCACATAGGATTGTTTAATATCAAGGTTTCAAACTAACATCTGTACATGTCGAAAGAACGGCAGAAAAAAATATAAGATCGAAAAAACGTTACCTATGCACAAAAAGAGCTGCCCATGCTCGTGAAATTTTCTTTTATCGTACAGAGAGAGAGAGAGAGAGAGAGAGAGAGAGAGAGAGAGATATATATGCGTCGACTAAATCGCGAGCATGACCTCAGACACCAAACTATCGGTGGTTTACCCTGCGACATGTATTACTAGAAAACGCGGGGAAATTCTCTGGGAAACTGCGGGCTCCGTTGCCGACTCGCATGTCTCTTAGGTGAACATTTCCCCTTTGCAGCGCGCTTATCTCTCGCGACGTGTAAATCAAGGAGACTAAAGTGTAAACTTTCGTAAGGTATCGTGAACACTGTTCTTAGGGCCTGCCTCGAGCGGGAAATTCATGCACAATTAAGAGTATAATGACGCACGTCGTAACAAATGTTGCACAAATTTTCGCCATACCGCTTTTATCATAATATAAATGAACATCTCCGATTCTCTTTATCGTGCATTTAGGCGATTTAACTAATTAATAATTAATCGCGCGAGAGATCGTCACGCTTCATTGCACCATCGGGCTGTATCATAGTCATCAAACTGATAAGGAAAACAATCTCGCGTAAATTTCGTATTACTTTTGAATGTATCGCCGATGAAATGGAGTATCTATCGCAACTTTGTTCCTGTCAGATAACGTGGCTGAATCGCCACGAAGCTTATACGACTGATCGGGGATTAAGGACATGATCCACTTTACACAATTTCTCAAGGTTCTTTCGACATTTTACCGTATGCTTTACGTTTCTTCATGAAATTCACGCCGTTTTCTTGACAGAGAAGAAAATTTCGCGACGCGACGGGTTGAATAACAAATGCCCAGACTTCAACTCGAAACACCTCGAATTTCGTTCTCTCATGGTTCTTCGTAATCCGCCGCACAGCTGGTGCCCGCTATTTGTTCGCCCGCATTACGGCCCTGCATGACGCTTAATGAGAAGCAATTATTCTTTTCTTTGGAACGTATTACACGCGACGACTTGAAACTAGCTGGTAAAAACAAATTGCTCTACACTGAGGAGGAAAATTTGGTAATAACCATCAAGCTTGGATAGTTGCCGGGTGCTCTGATGAAGTATTCATCAACTAAACGCGTAGATAAATATTATAATCAAATAATTTGATAAATAGTAAGAAATGATTTTATCAAGATTTAGCAGTAATTTTTTGGTGTCTGATGATAAGACTTAGTGTTAATTTATGCGCTATCATCAAATAATTTGTTAAATAAAATCATATTATTTAGTAATACTAACCACATTATGTGATAAATATGCGAAATAATCAAAAACTTAATAATAATAAAACTATAGATAGTAAAACTATTTAGTAATTATTACAAATTATTTGGTATTTTATTTATCATTCTACATTCATACTATTTCGGTCAATTAAATGAAGAATTTGTTTTACCAATTATTTTATAATTATTATCAGACGGCCGATCATCATTTAACTAACTTGATATCAAATGTTGCACTAAAATGCTCAACCAAATATATTATTAACTATTATAGATTTATAAATATATTATTAACTATTATAGATTTATAAATATATTATTAACTATTATAGATTTATAAATATATTATTAACTATTATAGATTTATAAATATATTATTAACTATTATAGATTTTTTTAATGTATTTGTTAAACTCATCCATTGCGTGATATAACTGTTTTAAGTCCCTGCATCTTACAACGTCGCGCATTTTATTCAATAAATTCTGAATTATTCAGCGAAACAGTGTTTCATATTTGTTCGAGTATAACGCGTAATCTTCCCTTGCAAAGTTGCAAGTAATCCTACATGCAAAGTGTATGAACGCAGTGCTCTCCTTTTCTCAGAATCCTTATAAAATATCGCGAGATTGCGAATCCTCGGAATAATATCGTGACATTTCGCGATACGAGATTTGATTCGCGCAAGCTTACGCAGGCTACTGGGATGACAACAGCTCTCGCTCATAAGACTTGTAAATATTCCATAACCCTATTTACGCGGTTGTGTTAGTCGAAAATACTTCAAATGCAGAACACGAAAATCGATACGATAACGCCTCCGGCGCGGCCGACTCGACTCTACTGTAACGTGAATATATAAATCGGCACGCTACGATGAAAATAACGGAAGAATTGAACAACGAACAGCGAGAACGCAGTTTTTTGTCGAGAAACCGAGGGGTTTGGAAAATTCGTGAAAAATCGCGTTTACATCTCGACGTTGAGTTGACTATATGCGAATCCGTTGAATACTGGAAAGAAAACTGCTCGGTCGGAATGAAACGCACAGTCCACGCTCGAACAGAAATATCAGGTTCGTTGAATAATTCAGAATTCATCGAATTGATCGCGCGTCGCAACGCTAAATTTTCTCCAAATGGGAATCTATAATTGTGGAAGTCGTTAAATCAATTAGCGACACGTTTCCTTTAATTGTGTACTTTTGCGAATCATATTCGTCGTCACGACCGCGTCCATGTTATTTCCATTCGTTCAAATAAGGATGTTTCTCGTGGCTGATCGTTTCGCTTTTGTAAAGTGAAAAACATTATGTGAACGTTACACGGTTCTTTACTCGTTAACGCTGCGCGCGTTCACGCTGAAAGCGACAAAATGCTAAAGTGATGAGAATTAATAATTCATATGGTGTGTTTTGAAAGCAAGTGGTGTTAAAAAAAAGAGAAGAAAAAGGCAACCGTTTTCCAGCGCAGGAAACGCGTGAATACATTTCTCACCGTCTGTGCGCGCACGGGCAATCTCTTTTGTTATTTTCTCTGGTTATCGCGGAGAAACTCTTTCTCACGCATCTGTGAAAAGGCAGACAGACCAGGTTTTTCCCGCGGCGTTTGATCCCTCGCGATAGAAAGAGGAATTTTTAACCCACCCCTTCAACGGGGTTATAACTCGACAAGTCCGTTATTCGACCCCTCCGATGCAGATGTAACCACGCGAATTAATCCTCAATTGAATGAATCGTTATAAATTTTGTATTTCTTTCTTTTTACTTTCCATCGAACAAAGAATAGTATCTTCGTGGCAAAAGGATCAGAAAGGGATTAACGAATGGCGCAATTTATTTTAGAGTTCTTCATGTCAGAGTTAGGACATCGGCCACTATTTGTAGGGAAGAAGAGAACGAGTGAGCAATAGAGAAGTTTGCAGCGTCCTTCGTCATTTAGGTCCTAAAGCTTCTCTCCCACTCTTGCTAGGGTTTGTTTCTTATTCCTACTTATGTTAAACCCCTAAAAATAGCGAACAAGATGCAGAAATCAATCAGAAATCATCATACTTTAACTTTAACTAAAGGAATTCTAAAGGACATCATCCCCTATTTGTAGGGAGGAAGTGAGTGAGTGAGTGAGTGAGAAATTGTAGGACACTTCATTACTTTAATTTTAAAGTTTTTTTGCTACCTAGTAGCAAAAAAAGTTTCTCTCTCACTCCCATTTATGTCATCCCTAAAAATAGAAGACAAGATGTAAATCAATCAGAAATCATCATGTTTTGTCCTAACTCTGATTAAAGGAACTCTAAAGTTAGGGTTAGGACATTATCTGTTATTTGTAGGGAGATAGTGAGTGAGTAAGTGTAAGAAAAGTTGCAGCGCGCTTCGTTCTTTCAATTTTAGAGCTTCTCTATCACTTTCACGTCACCGGTAAAAATAAGAAATATGATGCAAATCAATGAGAAATCATCATACTTTATCGTAATTCTGATTAAAGGAACTCTAAAGTTAGAGTTAGGATATTGTAAGGATGCAGTGAGTGAGTAAAAGAAAAGTTGTAGCACGTTTCGCTATTTCTTAATCTTAGAGCTTCTCTCTTACTTCTCCTAGAGTTTATCTCTCGCTCTCACGTTACTTCTAAAAATGGGGGACATAATGCAAACCAATCAGAAATCATTATGTTTTGTCGTAACTCTAATTAGGGAAATTTTAGTTCTCGGTGTGAAGCACCGCTGGTTCAAGCTTTCTTCCAGTATGAAATTCTCCAGTATGAAATCTGATCGAGATAGAGATTGGCTACCTCGTTAGGATCTCGCGCAGCCCTTGGACGTGGATATAGTGTATTGAGTATATAGGGCACGATCATTCCTGTCTGGATACAATCCTACGTACCGGTGCATTGTGAGTCGCGAATACAATTGATTCGGCGATCACCGACACAATCGCCAGTTCGATCGCTGGCCTTCTCGTCACTGTACAGTTGGAAGTGAATCGAGATTTAAATGTTTCTCCGTAGCAACGCTATCCTTTTCGAAGATTCGGGAACAACCGAAACGACTCCAATTTCGTCGGAATTGGAAAACAAAAGTCGAAAACGAACGAACGCGAAACGAACGGTGGGTCGTCTCCTCGAAGGATTTCTGTGATACCGTTAATATAAATAACGTTGCTCAAATACTCGTAAGAAATACCAAATTTATAAGAAATTTATAAAAAATATTTAATATTTTGTTACTTCTCTACTTATGTTGAGAATATATTTTGCAAAACTTGCAAACGCTCTCTCGCGATATTTCTCCGACGAGAAACGTAAAATTTCCTTTTATCCGTGCCACGACGAATCCTGCGAGGCAGATACAAAACCCTTGGGCTCAAGCGTACCTTAAAATCCCGACTGGAAATTTATTTTATAGTCAGATTAGATTGATCTCAATCAGTTATCTGGCTTATATAAAGTTTGTTATCGAATGCTGGTAAGTGACATAAAGCAATGCGATAACCAGGATCTTGTTAATAATAATGATTATTAATAATTAGATAAATAAATAGAATTATTTAACCATGATGTAGAAACTTCTTCAGTATGGAATAAGAATAGTATGTAAAAGAGAAAATGAAAATAGAGGTGAGTACCCTGATACAAGTTTATAGACTCTGAGAAGAAAAGTAAAATAAAAATTAAATAAAAAAATATATAACGCGAGAAACAATTTCATCACTTACATACTAGAAAAAAAAAGAAAAACAGCATATACATATATGAAATAATGAAATATTAATTCTTGAAGTACATAACAGCAACGTGCGCAACTTAGGAGCTTATTAATAACTAACTTGAACTACCCGGCGTTGCCCGGATTATCATAAAGTATCAAGGGGATAAAATCAGGGGGAAGAAGTGAGGTGTCCAGGTTTCATGGTAGTTTATATTTTCCTGGATATTCCTAAGATCCCTAAGAAATAATTATGCAAAATTTGATTCAAGTCGGTTAAAGGAGTTAATATATAGAGAACATATATACATATATTCTATTATATATATATAATCTGAGATTTTTTTTAGAATTTTTAATTAACTTTTTAGTACTTCAAGAAAATGCAAGGAAATGCAGTACTAAAAAGTTAATCAAAAATTCCGAAAAAAAAATCTGAAAGCTCTATGAAAAAAAAATAGACAATTTTTATCTCTTGCTATTTTTCGGTAAAGTTGATAGAATTCGAGTAAAAAATTATTGAAACAAATAATTTTGTAGATATTTCCGTAAATATCTTGGAAAATAAAGGTTGGATAAAAAATGTTTTCAAACAAAAGTTGTTTGCTTCTTTACGTAAAATAAAATTTCATAATAAAAAAATGTACATTTCTATTTAAAAAAGCAAAGTTGACCTCGACCTGACCTTGGCGGGACCACGCAAGTTTAAACCAATGTTACCTTCTTATGTCCCCCATCGATCTATATAACTTTTGTCTGAAACATTTTTGTTTTCGAAACATTCGGCTAGATAAATTAAAATGGCCCACCCTGTATATAGATTAGGACCTGATAATATTACATTGAAAAAAGAAAGTTTGATATTTGCAACTATAATCACATAGAGAAATAATCGCTATAAATTATGGTGAAAAAAACAATTTTTTATTAAATTGTATTATGTCAGTGATAATAACCTTATAGTGTGTCACTATTACTATTTTACAGAAAATATGTTTGAGGTAAAAAATATCTATAGTTTTATTTATATCAACTTTCTTTTCTCTCAATGCATTTGAAACAAGTGAAGTAAGGATCCTGATCAGGATCAATCTGATCAGGAACATAGGATAATTTGCGTCCATAATAGCTTTAACTCCACATCGTTCCTTCACGTGTACTCCGATTTCCCTAATAAACGTCCATCAACAAGAGTATACTATTTTCATGTGCGACCGTACTGTTCTGTTTCGCTTACAGAAAATCGAGAAACCGTTTCTGGACGCGGTGGAGCGTACGCTGGACGACCGGTACTCGGAGAACGTGGAGAACATCTACAAGCTGACGATCAAGTTCATCATCGAAACGCTGATCGACGGCTTCGACAAAGCACAGAGCGACAAGGCCAAGTCCTAGTCGTCCTAGTCCCGAGGATCCGGCACGCACGCGATCGCCCTCGATCCTGCGAGACGTTGACCGCTCTCCCCGGCTTCGCCCGGCCCTCCGATGCCTGGAAGTGAAAGAAAAAGGAAAAGAAGGAAGAGAGAAACGGGAAACAGCCGGCCGCCGATTCGCGAAGACGACGAAGGGACAATCGTCGTCCTCGATCCCGTGGATCCCCGAGAAGCGCGCGAACACGCGAGCGTGCGCGTCTCACGTATCACCGTGTATACGCGCGTCCGACGTTCGCCGGCCTGAGCTCTTTTTCCCCCTTGCGAGAGGGGTGTCACGCCGTTTCAAACGGATATTAATAACGGCCCCGTCGAGTCACGGTCCTTAGGTATTACCTTACGAAAACGCGCCGAAACGCGAACCAAACGAACCGTGCGCGACTCTCTCTCGACGGTCGAAGGGTTCTCGACGAATATCGCTCGACCAGACGATCCCATTTTAGCCGATTAAATTTTTATGATCCCGCGGATACGCAAAGCATGACTTCCATCCGGACTAAGACAGTTCAAAGAGATGTGCAAAGACGTTGAAAGGATATTCAGGCACTGGGATGTTTTGTAGATGACGTCCTCGCGACGTCGTTTATAAGTATTCGCGAGTATTCGTGTGTGTTTAATTGCAATAAGGAAAATGCAACGGGATTGACGCGAGACATGTGCAGGTAGGAGGCGCTTGAGATTGTTACCTTGACTTAAGCCAAGATTATTGTCTCTGAAGAAAAATGGGTCGAATAAAGGTTCCATGGTTTCAAAGTGTCTCGCAGTGCTCGCTTTTAGATGACTTCACTTTAATACTTTTATACTCACGCAGGCTGACGAGAGGGATATATTCGCATAAAGGAAAACGTATGTGTCTACATTGGAAAATGAAACGAACCTTCACCTTCAAATCTCTGAAGCGCCTTCACCTGGAAGAATTTCGTTCGATCCATCCTCTACATCCTCCTCGAAACCACGAAACTTTAACTCGATTCATCGTTCCTTAGAGATAATAATATCGACGTAAATCAAGGCGGCAATTCCAAGTGCCTCAGTCTGGTCACTTTCTCACGCCTGTAACATCACACGGAAAATCAGACTTGAAACGCCGGATCAAACGATTTGAATCTCTCTTTTTATATAATTGATTGACGATCGCTTTTTTGTAGACGTCGATTAATTCTGATCGGAGCCTGACAGGTTCTTTATGTCCTTCTAACGTTAATTACGGGAGGCAGCGAGGAGCGTGTTAACCTGAGGTTAAAGTTCACAGTGACGGCGGTAGCGATCCTTGAGCGCCGTGATTTCAAGTTTATCCAGCATCAAGTACGCGTGATTGATCGGGATTTTACGGACGGCAACATAGTATCCGCGGGGAAAGTTGGCGCGAGAGTAATCGGTCCTTCGCTTCGGAGCCTCGCTTTGGTGATTTATACATTGCTCTCTTTTTAAAGTGCAGTGTTCGCGAATGGGCAAACCAAGTACCAATTCGTCGAAACATCCGTTGGATCGCATGTTTCCGCGAGATTTCCGCATCGAAGAAATGCACTCCAGTTTGTTTCTCAGTTACTTTTGCTATTATATTGTTCCTTTGTTGCAAGTCCACGTTACTTACATCTCGCATAGTTCCGCTATCACTATACAATGAAAATATCCACGAAGCTCGAGAAGAAGAATGTCAACGCTAACATTTATTTGATTCTCTTGAGAGAAGAAAATATCTCTCCGAAGATCTGACTTTAATGCAAATATAATTTTGTTCATATAACGTGCGTCGCGTAGAATCTTATACAGACCTCGCGCATTCATTGTTTCCGGTTACGGAGACAATACACTTAACGGAAGTAGAGCGGAAAGTGATGCACGTCGTTATTGATCAGACGTAAGACTATGGGGTAGAGGAGATAGGTAGAGAGATAGAGAGAGTGAGGAAAGCCTCTCTTCCCCACGGGAGACTGATTTTCTCGACATCACATAGATAGTAACTTCGGTCAATGTTACGATATTCCTTGCCGTGAGGAGTCTGATAAGCCAAGATATGGAGGTCCTTATTACGATACCATCATCACGAGTCAAGTGAGAAATTTGCCCAATCCTCGCCGCGGGGCTCTCCTTTGAAGGCCTATTAAAAGAGACGCGATAACTCTATCACGAGCGCTGTATAATCCATTTGATGTATGCGCATAATGACGACTCCCTGGCGCGTTCATCGCACGATTTCTGCCATTTCGCTAATTACGACTTTCGCGAAATTGAAACGCGCAAGAGACACCGTATGCCTATAGCCGGTCGGTTTTTCCGCGTGTTTTTCACGTCATGAGAGACTTTTACGAGTAACGATTTTTCATCTCGCTAATTACGTTAATTCGCTTTTACTCCCGTCGAGCGGTAATTACTCCCACGCCCTGGTGATGTTCTATAAATTAATTGAATAAAAAGTTCGCACTCCCGCGTATATTGTGAATTGATTCGCCTCTAAATGGAAACTGAAAAATTCGCTCTTATTCGTACAGAACGCATAAAATATATTAATTATTATTGTATATTATTTACATTATGTTTATAACGTCAAGGAGAACGATGGAAGAGGGTAGAAACTCTATATCGGAGAAGCAAACGAGGATAAAAATAACGCCGATAATCACGAGTTAATGACGGTTTGAAATTATTCCGCGTCATCCGATTGTCTTGCGGAATACAATTTCTCAGGCCTGTATCAATAGTCATAACTTGTGATGTGTCTCGTGTGAGACACTCAGGTTTAAATTTAGAGACAGATGTGTGAGTCTTTTAGTCGAAACGCGATTATAACTTTAATGACACATGTATTATGTAATTTAAATAAAAAACTCCAATCTAACTTTAAATTCAGATTTGAGTATTTCGCGAATGACTAGTTTCAAGCATTGACTATTAATACGAACTTAAGAGCCGTATTAATAATTGTCATCTAATAACAATTTGTGACATCTAGTGACATATTCAGCTTTTTATTCAAGTTTTTTAGTCAAATAATACGATATATGTGACATTATATCTGTATTGGCGATTTAATTGAAAAGTTCTCATCTAAGTCTGAGCTCAAATCTGAGTATTTCACTTGAGACGACTTTCAAGTAAAAACTATTAACACGAGTAAAAATTCAGATCAGATCTAAGTATCTCATGTGAGGCGCATTGCAAGTAACTGCTATTAATACATATATATATTTTTAAGTTAATTTATAGTCGTATTAATAGTCGTTACTTGAAAATGACTTCAATTGAGATACTCGGATTTTAATATAGAGTTAGATTTGAGTTCTTTTAGCTGAATCGCGCGATTATAAATATAATATATTATACGACTCAAATAAAAAACTTAAATTTAACTTTAAATTTAGATTCGAATATCTCGCGGAAGACAAATTTCAAGTAACGACTATTGATACGGACGTTAGGGCGGCATTCATCGTCCAATCTTATATTTAAGATTGAACTACGAATATCATCCTCATACTTTCTCAAGTCGGAGCCCTGCCATTAGGTGTATGCATGTAATCGATTTATCGTACAAATTGACAGCCGTCGTCATGCATGTCATATACTCAACGACCGCGTCGATCGCACCATCCTTACAAAACGACGGAAACGGATATCACAAGGTACCAACTCCGTGTCAGCTATCGCAATTTTAATAACATCAGTTAATTTTAGAGTCGACGATTTTAGAGTCTCTCGTGCACCGACTTTGCGTGCGGACGCTTTTTATGACTTCGATAATTAATAGAAAAAAAATAATTGTGGCGGGCGGTTAGTCGACTGGCGCTTTCAGTCGCCGGTACTTTTGGATTATATGTAAGTCACGCGGGACACGAGGCTGAATGCGGCGGAATGCAAATGCGCGCATTGTCGCGAAACGAGGTCGCACGAGATTTAATCGCGAAAACAGCGTGGATAAACACGTACGAGAGACGCGTCGCCTCGCCCTTCGCCCGAGTTATCGCAACGCGATTACAACTGGTTGGAACTATCGCAATTCTTACGCGCATACGAAAACTCGAAGAAAGGAAAAAAGAAACA